TAATAAATTAGTAGGGATACACATCAAACCGACTATAATGTAATTTAAAATAACAATATATTATGTCTCAGGCATTTGAGATATCATAATTTCTTGAAAACCCACCATTTCTATTAAAGAATTACTGTCTTGATTAGTGGCAAAATGAATTATTAGACGAGTAATAACTATTCATTCTCATTGGGATTACAAATACAGTTTAGGTAGCGTTAATGTGGTATTAAATGATAGGTGAAATTAAATAAGTCATTTAATTTCATATTTTATCTAACATATCATTTAAGCCACATAAATTGTGTTTATGACCCCACTGAGGATGAATAACATTACTCTTATTAGACATATGGATTAGTCAAAGAGAGAGAGAAGCTATTATTCTTCTGACCCTTATTAAAGAGATCATAATAACATGGGAGGAGTCCTAGGCATGTGAGCATGTGATAAGACTGTATTTTCCAACCAAACCAAGAACATGTATGTATAGGATTTTTGAGTTTACACAAGTACCCTTTGGAGAGTTTAGCTTCTTGCTGGTATATCATGTTATTTTTGAAATTTGAATGTGGTTTTTTGTCATTATATAATACACGTTGTAGTTAATCATGCCTAGTTCTTGAAAAGCTTGGATTAGAGACAACTAATCAACATAGGGTAAATCTTTTTGTATGTTGTGTATGTACTGTCATAATAATAATAATAATAATTCTTAATAATTAAGCACACTAGATTACAAAGAATAAGCCCTAGTTAGGGGCAGGCTCCATTAAAATCAACTTTTGGGAAAAAATGTGTTGAAATAGTGATTTTTTTTTTAAAAAAAATTTATGGTTAAAAAAGAAGAATTTTTTTTGGGTTTACGCTTAATATTATTTTATTGATCGAATTCAACATGTGAAATGGACGTCGAAGACAACACATAAATAAGGTACCAAAGTAAGTAAAGATTAAGCATTCAAGTCTTGTTACTCATTTACGAATATTGTGAACCTATCGAGAAATTCAAGAGAAATGAAGTCAATGTTCACATTAAAAAGAGAGTATGTAGAAGACAAAATTTAAACACACATGGTATCATTATTCAAATATTGTCATCACTCAATCAGAATATTATGCATGTGCCGTGTATTTGATTAAAACTTGAACTCACATAAGGAAAATTTAAATACACTTGGTATCAACGCAAGTAAAGATTTGTGTTTTGAGTTCTTTCGTTACTTATTTTCGAATAGTTAATGAGAAATAAATTTAATTTATAACACGTATGTTTAGAGTAGTGAGTAGTCTTAGGTATAGCATGCTTGAAACAAGATTCACTTGTAAGGTTATCAAGAATGATTAACCTGTGCAGCTGTGCTACAAATTAAAATGGTAGACTAGGATGAGTCTTACACGAATCATCAATATCTTCACTTGCAAATCAATGTGGAGTTTTGAAAGAAATGTCATAAAATGAAGATACTAAAGCAGACTGCTGCAAAGAACAGACAAATGAAAAGATAAAATTTAAATAAGAATTAAAAAGTGGAAAAAAAAAAATTAAAAATCTGTTTGAAATGAAAAAGAAGAAGTGAAATAAATAACTGCATAATCCATAATGTGCACAAACTAAGAGGACCTAAAAACCCGGGAAAGATCCCTAAAGCAAGAATTGTGCTTCAAATTTGGGTCCAATAATGATTAATAGCTTCTTCTTTTTTTCTTTTTCTTCTTTTACATTTTTTTTTTTTTTTTGAGCTCTACCTCATATGTATTATGAAATTTATCCTAGTCAAGTTGAATTTTTATCACTGGATATGTACGGTAACTAAATTTGCTTGATATACCAAACAAATGCCCACTTAATAAAATCCCCCATCAATTTTCTTTTCTATAATTTGTATATTGTTATGAAAAGAGAGGATATATCTCAATAAACTTGTATATATTATAATGAGAATCAAAACCCTATATTTAAAGGGAATGACTATGGATACAACAGTAATAATTTCTAGGGCTGCATGAGTAGAATTATCATTCACTAATAAACTTATCATTTACAGCACTCCCCCTTAAATGAAACATTATAAAATATATGCCTCGTTAAAACATTGTTTAATAAAAATTCAATGGGAAAAAAAATCGAACGAAGGAAAAAAGTCCAGTTATTTTGGAGTATTAAAGATAAATGTCATCTCATTAAAACCTTGATAAGAAAAATCCAGTAGAACAAAACATAAGCGAAAGAAAAAGAGTACAACTACTCCCCTTATATTGATCACTGGAAGTCTTTGAGTAGACGCATTTCAATATCTTAAGTCAATTTTTTGAATGTAGATATTGACAGTGTTTTTGTAAATAAATAAGTCACATTGTTACTTAAGCGAATTTGTTGAATATCGATGTTGTCATTCTTCTGAAACTTATGTGTATGAAATAATTTTGGAGAAATATGCTTTGTCATGTCATCTTTGATATAGCCTCCTTTAAGTTGTACAATACAACCAACATTATCTTCATACAAAATTATTGGACTATCTTTTGTTGAAATTAACACGTATGATGCTTGGATGTGATGGGTCAGTTCCTCAACCATACACATTATTTGGCCTGCTTCATGAATTGCAATAATTTCAGAATGATTTGATGATGCCGCTATCAAGGATTGCTTTACAGATTCCCTCCACGTGTAAACACATACCCTATTTGTGATTTAGCTATGTGGTGGGTCAGAGAGATAACATACATCAGCATATCCCACTAAAACAGATCCTGACTTTTGAGAATAAAATAATCTCAAATCAATAGTATCATTTAGGTAACAAAAAATATGTTTAACATCATTCAAATATCTTTGTATTGGTATAGAACTATATCTTGCAAATGGTACTTTAGGACCAAGAATCAATTCTCTATCTTCTAGCGGAAGAAAATGATCTTTTTTTATATCAAGTGATCGAACAACTATAGGTGATGTCACTGGATGTGCATTATCCATATAAAAGCGTTTTAAGACTTTTTTTTGTATATATAAATTGATGAGCAAATAATCTTTTTGAGAAATGATCAATCTGTAACCGAAGACAGAATTTGATTTTTCTCAAATCTTTAATCTCAAATTCATTTTTCAAATAATCTGCAATTTTGTTGAGCTCTTCCGAAATTCCAATTAAATTTAATTCA